TACCTACCCAGAGGAGCCGATGCTGGTGGAGAGCACCGACGACACTAGGACGGCCCAGGTACCATACGAGGGGGAGTGTGGAAGTAGCCCGGGGGCAGCCGACCCCAGTCTGGCTGCTGCACTGCCGGAGCCGATGTCAGTGTGTTGCAGCCAGGATCCCCACTGACGGCAGCGAGTTTCGGTCGCTGCTAGGGCCCCGGGCTAGGACGCAGTGGAGTGGGAGGGCCTGCGTCCCCCCTGCCACCCACTCCTTGGGTGGCAGACTCCCCCCCCCCCCTTTTTTCCCTGGCCTAGAGAGGCTGGGGGCTGCCACAAACTGACCCAGCCCCTGCTACAAGGCCTGGGCCACTGATTGACTCTTTGCTACTGACCCAGCCCCTGCCTAAGGGCCTGGGCCGCCGATTGACTATTTCCTGCTGACCCCTGCTTAGGGACCTGGGCCTCTGAGTAACTATTTGATTACGGCCCTGCCCTGACTTAAGGCCTGGGCTGCTATAGACTGTCTCAGCCCTTACTTAAAGGGCCGGTGTTCGGACCTCTTGGCTCAGCCCCTGCTTACGGGTCTGAGCCCCTAACTGTGGGTCTGCGGTCCCCGATTGCCGCCGGACCAGAGCAAGGTGGTGGGATACCCCACAGCCCCGCTGAGGGCCGAATCTCGGCCCAAACCGACTACAGTTACCCAATTTCCTAGTTTTGTTAGTGCCTTCTGAATCTCCTTGCAGTTCACCCTTCTCTTCACTAACGCAGCCTGGACTGCAACCAGAAAATACAGCCACCTGTATTCCACCCCTTAGGCTAGGAAAGGGGATGGCCTCAACTTTTTAAAACTATGCCACTTGAAAATGTTTTACCTGCTGTTACTACGTGTAACCCCTGAAATGGCTAGAACCAAAAGACTGGAGGGAAACTGTTTCCAGTTAATTTGCTGTGTAGATTCACCGGCCTTTTGTATAGTCTTTCCCCTCTAAGATCAGCCTTCTCTGCTGTTCATCTGGGCCTATCACAAAGCAGCAAGAGTGAGAAGAATGTTTTCAAAAGAAACGATGTTGGTAAAACCCATAAAAATTGATTTGGGGGAAGTATAGGACCTGAACTGCTTTTCACTCAGTCCCCCCTCCCAAAAGGACTAGATTTCAAGCACTGATGGCATTTCTTTTAACTGTGTTGTCCCACCCACTTGGTCTACAGGTTCATACAGTGGACTGCCACGTGGGATGCTAGCATGTAACGTGTTGTATGTGTCATAAGATGAGAATGGTACAACTTGTGGCATAGACCGTGATCTGTGATATATCACAGAATTGTTGGGGCTGGGAAAGCAGGTGTCCAACTGTAGGCTCTTGGGTGGAGGTGCAGAGCTTTTCTTCTGACTCACCCTTGAACCCAAACCAGGTAAGTCTCATGAGCCCCACTAAGGAGCTCACCAGGCTGAGTGTGTATCTGACACAAGTGGGGGCAGAGGCAGAGAAATCCTGCTCGGGAGGGAGCTTGTGGGCTAAGGATTATGAGCTTGTGTCCCAGAGGTGCTGAGCACCTGCTGTGCCCGGTGACTCCAGCTGGAGCTGTAAATGCTCTTCTCTGTAAGGTCTGGCTTGTGTTAGGGCTTTCCTGGGGCAAGCTGCAGGGAGGGGGGCAGGGTCTGGGTGACATCCATGGTGTGAGTCCTGTCAGATGCCACCAGTTAATGCAGACCATTGAAAAGGTAAATCCCTTCTTCTGGAGCAGGAACCATCCATATGCCCTCTCCAGGCAATTCAGCATGGTGGTTCTGCTCCTCGCCCAGCCACTTGGCTATGGCTACTGCTAAGTCCCCACAAGAATTCACTCAGCCCAGGCAGATGTATCGGACTCTTACCGAATGGGCTTTTCCTGGCGATCAGAGCGATTTATACAACTGCGTAACGGCAAAAGGAAAATGTGCTTTGTACCAGCAGCATGAATCCAAACTGAGTGGAGTGGGCAAGAGGAGCTGCAGCTCTGGTAAGGATTCATCCCGCACTGTCTGATCTCCGTGGAAGCCTCGCTCATGGTCGGGGCTGTGGTGGCTTGTCCTATAGATCGTAGCAAACGGTTGGGGAAGAATCTTCCCATGGCAACAGTAGTCATGGTTCAGCCTCCCTGGGCGATCAGGAGAGTGTGGCCTTGAGACAGAGGCAGGAGAGACTGGCTTGTGCGCAGCACAGCAGCAGCCTGACGCTGTCTGGCCTGTAGCTTTACTAGCAGCAGCAGACAAGAGTTTGGCCTGGAAAGACACAAATTGGCCCAAAGTCTTTGGCTTGGGAATAATACAAAAAAGCTGCTTGTGCAGCTGCTGGTGACGGGGCAGTTTAGCAATCTGCACAAACCAGGTTTGCACAGTTCAGTAGGGCCAAAGAGGGCACCTCCACCCCCACCAGCCCACGGGATCTGGCTGGACAGAGCCTTCCTGATTCGTAACAGTCTTAGGACAAAGCTACTGGGGTACCTGGCTTCCGAATGCCAGCAATCGCCCCCAGGGTCTGGAGAGAAAAGCCAGCTGGAGTGGGACAAACCCACTGCCTGGAGGGACAAGAGCAGTATCTGGAGCCCACGTGGCCATGCTATCTGGGTGGCCTGCCACTGGGCTCAGTGACTCTGCAGGGCCGTCTGCATGATCCCTCCTGCGTGCTCTATAAATGCTAGAATGTACTGGAGGGCATCTCCCCACCCCATAGCCAGTCACGCACATGCCACAGGAAACCAGGAGCTGGGCAACCCCTCCTGGCAGCTGCTCCTCAGGGGCTGGAGGTCTCCCACTCTGCAGTTCTGTGGGAGCCCAGTGGCCTGTCCCAGACCAGGAGGTGACTATTCACTTTCCGACCTGACCCCACCTCTGTCTCCCCTTGTGAAAGCAGAGCCTTGGGGCCAGGATCCTGCCTTTGGGGGGAGGCGGGAAGGAAGAGGGCTGGTCCAGGTCACTGTTTCCTTGACATGTGGCAGATTCTCTTTCCATCTCCCTGGTCAGGGGTTTCTCGTTCCTTCCCCTCCGAGGCTGGGGGACAAGTCAACCCCCCACCCCACTCCTTTCAGCTGAGAAGCTTCTAGTGCATTGAGCATCCCAGGCTCATTCCCCTAATTCTGGGAGCACTGGGGATGAGAAGATGCTAGACTGGGTCAGACCCAAACTCCATCTGATCGGTCTCCTGTCTCCCACAGTGGCTGGCACCAGTTGCTTCTGAGGAAGATGCAGGAACTCCATAGTGGGCACTCCCGGA